CGCGCTCGGCCATGGTCACCAGCATGGCCTCGATCCTGGACGGCGGCGACTACCGACCTGAGCTCTCCATCCCGCTGCACCACGCCATGAGCATGTCCTGCGACTCGTCCCCGCCCGGCATGGGCATGAGCAACACCTACACCACGCTGACGCCGCTCCAGCCGCTGCCGCCCATCTCCACCGTGTCGGACAAGTTCCATCACCCGCACCCGCACCACCATCCCCACCACCACCACCACCACCACCACCAGCGCCTGTCGGGCAACGTCAGCGGTAGCTTCACCCTGATGCGCGACGAACGCGGGCTCCCGGCCATGAACAACCTCTACAGCCCCTACAAGGAGATGCCGGGCATGGGCCAGAGCCTGTCCCCGCTGGCTGCCACGCCGCTGGGCAACGGGCTGGGCGGCCTGCACAACGCGCAGCAGAGCCTGCCCAACTATGGGCCTCCGGGCCACGACAAGATGCTCAGCCCCAACTTCGAGGCGCACCACACTGCCATGCTGACCCGCGGCGAGCAGCACCTGTCCCGTGGCCTGGGCACCCCGCCCGCGGCCATGATGTCGCACCTCAACGGCCTGCACCACCCGGGCCACGCTCAATCCCACGGGCCGGTGCTGGCGCCCAGTCGTGAGCGGCCGCCCTCGTCTTCATCGGGCTCGCAGGTGGCCACGTCGGGCCAGCTGGAAGAGATCAACACCAAGGAGGTGGCCCAGCGCATCACCGCCGAGCTGAAGCGCTACAGCATCCCGCAGGCCATCTTCGCGCAGAGGGTGCTGTGCCGCTCTCAGGGGACTCTCTCCGACCTGCTCCGGAACCCCAAACCGTGGAGTAAACTCAAATCTGGCAGGGAGACCTTCCGCAGGATGTGGAAGTGGCTACAGGAGCCGGAGTTCCAGCGCATGTCCGCTTTACGCCTGGCAGGTAAGCCAGGCGGTCCCCGGGCCAGGCTGCTGGGGAGAGGGCTCCTGGCGCTGTTGCCTGGGTCAGGGCGCTCACCCTTCTCTCGGTTCGCTCGCTGTCCACCTCTTCCCTATATTCTTCCTTTCTTCTTTCCTTTTACCATTTTCTCTTCCTTTACTGTTTCCTCTTCTCTCTCTCTCTCCTTCCTCTCTCTCTCTCTCTCTCTCTCTCTCTCTCTCTCTCTCTCTACTTCTCTTCAACCCTTCTTTTCCCTGAGCCTTCACTGACCGACCCCTACTCATTTCACTTGCCCTTCCCCCAAAGGGCCAGCATTCGCCTACCTCTTTCCGACCTTGCTCGGTAGTGGGAGGGGGGCGGGCGGGGGGCGAGTAGTCGGCTAGGAGCCCTCTTTCCAGGACTCAGGGAGTCGGGGACTGCCTTTATTCTAAACCTGTGCACTTGAACCCTTTTGGTAGACAATACATTTTCGCTTTTCAGGCTTCTTTCTGCTCTACCTACATGAAGACACTCGATGGGGGGCGGGTTTGCTCTTTTAGAAGGAAAAAACCTAGCTCCCTCTCTCTTAGCCACCACACCGGGCAAACTTGTTCAGTCAAAAGCGGGAGCCCCAGCCGTGACCCCGCAAGGGGACGGGAGGTTAGGTCACCCCGCACTCTCGGAGCCCAGCACCGGCCTTGGCATTGGCGCCGGGACTTTCCGCCCCGGGCAGGACCGAAAGCGCGGGCTCTGGCTAGCTCCGGCGCTCCTGCCACGCCTAGGGAAGGGTGCCCAGAAGCCAATACGGACTGCCACCTTCATTGGCTTTGGGGACACCAGGCAAGAGAGACCGAGCGAAAAGTGCCCAGCCTCCTTCGTCAGCCGCCCTCGGCCGGCTCCCAACGTTTGGCTGGGGCTCCGGGAGAGGCCAGGCGCTGACAGGAGAGATGCCGAGAAATTAAGATGCAGGGTACTTAATGCATCTCCGCCGCCGGCTGCAAGCTCCGCCTTTGCATTAAGCGGGGCGCTGATTGTGCGCGTTGAGCGGCGGCGGGGAGGGCCGGTGGCCCGCGGGAGGGGACCGGTGGACGCGCCGGGTACATTGTTCAGAAGCCGGCTGGGCTCTTTGTGCCTCCTCTAGCGGCCGAGCCGCGAGGTACAGCCCTCTATTGTTCTTGGAGCACAGAAGCCTCCTGTGTGGGCTGCGGGCGCTGGAGAAATAGGGAAAGACGGAGCCCTGGCTGCGGCTGGCACGCATTTGCCTGCTTTTGTACACACAGACCCTGCTCCGGAGTCGTGGCGACCGAGCTGCCCCCAAGAGCCCGCTGCTCGCTCTGGGGAGCGAAGTATCCAGCCCCTCCCCCGCCCGCCCCCCACCAGGGGGGCTAACACAATACCCGCCTGCAGGCCGGGAAGGCTCGCTTCGGTGGGGCTGGGGAAATATCTCGGGTCGGTAGATGGTCAGGAGGACAATTCGTGTGGACAATGATTTGCATAGGCGTAGATATTGGGGCGCGCGCCTTCCTAGTCAACCTCACACGGCGCTCCTCCCCAGGGGCAACGTCAAGTTCCTGCTGGTGCCCTCCGCGGCTTTGCTAGAGCTCGGCTCATTGGGTGCACGCTAGTACACCGCCTGGGAAAGCTGAGTCTGGGACTAGGACTAGGACTGGGAAGGGGGGCGGCGTTTCTGCTCCGACCGCCTCACCTCCCCTTTTGCCCGCTGTTCCTAATCGCCAGCGGTATTGATCTCAGAAGGTAAAAACAAAACAAAACAGCTCTCCCCAGAAAGCTTCCCCCAAACCAGCTAGCAGCTCTGCACGCTGCAGTGCGTGTGGGTGTGCGAACCATCTATTTCATTCTTTCTTCCGTAGCTTACTCTTCACCCTCTCTGGCCATTTCCTCAGTTTTGCTCTTAGTTTTTGGCAAACGTTAAGCAGTTAATAGAGGGAAGCAGTGAAAACGAAACGGAGTGCCTACTTACTGGTGATTCTGAACAATGGGCACCCTTTGTCTTAGGCCCCCAGTAAAACTCCCAGGCCCCCTTGGGTGAGCTATAGCACTAGTTTCCTTCCTGGGCACCGAGTGGGGGAGGGGCGGCGGGGGCAGAAAGAACTTGGTCGCTGGTCTTTGACTGGGTGGGGGGCTCAGTGAAAGAGAGGATGACAACTCTTCTGCTTGGGCTCATCTCAGAGCGCTGCCGCCCCCTCCCGCCAGTAGCGCAAAGAACAGAGCTTTAAAAGCACATGCTTTCTTCAGCCTGTGTAGGTTTCCAACTGAGGTAGAAAGTGCTGCGTTACTTTTTAGAGCCGTGGGCCTTTTTACAAAGGCCTCAAGCATTACTTGTGGCTAGAGGGTTAAGCTTTGGACTGCTAACCACGAGGTGGGCGGTTCAAACCCACCCTCTGTCTCCCTAGAGCAAGAGAGGCTAGCTGCTCTGGTGAAGATTTACAGTCTGGGAAACCCTAAGGAGTGGTTCTAATCTGCCCCTGTAGGGTTGCTATGAGCCTAAATCATGGAAGCCTTGGCGAGAAGAGGAGGGGGCCCAGGGCTGCCCAAGCTATGTTTCTGAGACAGGCACTGAATTTGTGGAGGGTGGAGGGGATGCCCAAGTCTCCCACCCCACTGCCCTCCAGTTGGTTCTGGGAACAGAAGCACCCCACAGGGGTTCCAAGGCTGTACATCTCTAAGAGAGCAGAGAGCAGACTGTCATATCTTTCTGCCTGGCGCAGCTGAGCACTGAGAACCACTACACCACTTGGGCTCTCCAAGGTCTCCTTCAGGGAGTGGGAGATTCCTGCCAGCCCCCACCACCCACACTCACACACTGCTTTGCTCAAGCATTCAAATGTGTGTCTGTTTTATTACCCCCTATTGAAAAGGGACAAGAGCTTTAGCCTTTTTATCTGACCATTTTATCAGCAACTACAAGTGTGTTGAGTGGTTATTATTACATAGGAGGCTTTTCAGTTCGGGGTCAGTAGATCAGTCTCTTCAGACACTGGCGCAGAAGCTGGGCCTGGTAAGTAGGTATTATATACTCCCGATCGCTAGGGAACTGGAGCAAATGGAGAAGAAAAGGGAGGCCTTCCCTGCCAGGAGTATTGATTGATCTGAATCCCCGCCAGACTGGGCTGGGCTCTGGGCCCCATTGCAGTTGGGCCCTAGGGGTTCAAGCAGCCTGGGATCCTGGCGCTACTGCTTCCAGCTTCCAAGGCCCAGGCCGCACCCCCATCCTGCCAGACTGGTCCTGAGTTTCCTTTGGTCTTCAGGTGGCCTCTCTGGGCGCTTCCGGAGGCCCAGTCATTCAGGGACACAGGAAGCACCTCAACACCACACACCTTCCTTCCTAAAAGCCGTGTCCCAGACCGCCCGCAGAAATAGACCCTTTCTCTCTGGCCACCCTGTGTTGTTTGCCAGAGGTCTGTCGGCGTGTCTCCCGCCTGAGGGGAGGCTTCAGAGGGAAGGGAGACCATCCAACTGTCCCAGCCGACGGTGCAAGTAGAGTCCCAGTGCTGGACTTGTATGTGAAGGGTGGCCAGGTTAGGAAGTGGTGTCCTCCGGGCCTGTCCTGGAAGGACAATTGTCCAGTAAGAGACCTTGAAGACAACTGCGGTTTCAAGCACAGACACTCGGGAGTTGGAGCCCCAAAGGTCTCTAAAGGACGCACAAGAGGGAGCTGAGACCATCTCCAGGGCACCCCCATCCCTCCCGCCTCCACCCCACGAAGGAAAACGAAAGTCTGGATGGCCGAGGTGCTCCTCCAAGCCTCAGGCCCCTAGGAGTTTGAGTTTGTGAAGGTGGCCTTCCCCGGGGCTCCCACGGGGCACAGATGCACACCCTGTCCCTGCAGGAGCGGTCGCTAGTGTGGGAACGGTGTGCGACGGTGGGACACGGCCAGCGCATCTGGCCACGGATCTTCTTCAGTTCAGGGGACGTCCTCTGCCTGACCTGGGGCCGGCGAGCACCTCGGAAGGGTGGGTACCTGGGCCTCCTGGGCAGCCCAGCCTCCCCATCCCTCCTTTCTCCGCAGCGCGGGCCTGGGGCACCTTAGCCAGCCCCACTGGTCCCTAGCTACTTAGTGGGGGATCCAAGCCTGGGAGGGAGGCTGAATGCAACCCACGCCAGGACTGAACGGGCGATGTTTTCCCTGGATGACTGCTTGGATCAATACGGGAAAAGCTTGCTGCTGTCCTGGGTTCCTGGAGCCTCCGGCGCCTCCAGAGTCCCTCCCGGGCACCACGTCAGATGGGCGTGAGCGGGCAGCGCAGGAGCCTGGCGGGAGCCGGAGCTCAGGCCGCCAGGCGCCCGGGGACGCGCGAGGCAGCGCCTTTATTTTTATTCCTGGCTTTCCACCGTGTGGTTATGTCACTTTCTCAAACAAATGTGTATATGTAGGGAGATCGATGCTGATAATGTTTGGAAGATTAAAAGAGCATTAATGCTGGCAACAATAACGTAAACGTGCGGACCCAGATTTCATTGATCTGGAACCTGATCCGGCGCGTTTCCAGGAAGCCCCACGGACGGCACGCTCTTCCCAGCAGCGCTCCCTCCGCGCCCCAGCCCAGACCTGAGCCGAAGTCCCCGGCAGCTTCTCCTGGGGCAGGCCCAAGCCCGCACGGCCTCCGGGGTCCCCTCCAGAGCGGGCGCCCAGCTAATGGCCCATCCCAACGCCCTAGCCTTCTCTCTGCGCTCACTCGTCAGTCGGGCCTCGGAATGTGCAGTCTGCCCGCGCATCTATCTCAGAATCCGAGCACTTCCCCGGCGTGCGCTCGACTGCACCTGGTACATCAGAGGGAGGGGGGGGGGGCTGATAGGGGGCGTGTCCTCTCCTCCTTTCCACCTACTCCGGGAAGCCCCATGGTTTCGAAATCCAGTCTCCGTCCCCTCGGAGTTAACCGACCACCTCGAGTTGAGAAATGACTGTGCTGAGACAGCTGGCTAGGAGCGCAGCGCCTCGGGACTTTCAGTAAAAGTCTCCCTCGAAGAACTAATGCGCAGGTGCGTCTGCTGGACAATTGGAC